GGAGTACGGTGGTCCTTCAAGCATCTCTCGCCCCACGGCACAATTGTGAAAAAATTGCACGACGCTCTGATGCACACGTTCCGCATTGCCTGAAGGTGCGAAGATGTCTACGAGCGACTTTTCCGAGCTGGACGCAAGCCGGTATAAGGAGTTAATCGCATTCTCCGCAAGACCGGCTGTCGGGTCCACCCGGATGGCAGAAAACAGCTCCGTTATTGTCCCACAAAACACACAGGTTTCACGCTCGAGAAGAATCACGTCATCCACAAACTTCAAAATCGCCCAACGTGGCTGAGACATGGAGACCAACACAATGCGCATCCTCTCTCGCTGAGAATTTGTTGCCAAACTGTGAGGCGCCAAGGTGGCTCCGTCAGTCATCGGAACGGCAGTTCCTGCGTTGTTGGGCAGGACTTGGGAAGATACAACGGAAGCGGGTGAAGACGAAGGACGAGGAGGCGGCAAAAATGGGGATCGCGAAGTGTTTAAATCCAAAGAAACCGCCATGGGAGCTGCAATTCGTCGGAGGAGACGCATAAACTCCTGCGCTTCGTGAGTTCGTAGGCCCTCCAACAGTTGGTCAAAGCAAAGCACCAGCGGATTCAGCAGCAACTCTCTACCCAATGAAACACGACGACGCACGTACGGGGAGCATCTCTGCACCACAGCATCCGCAACACTTTCAAGCATTAACTCTTCAAGAATTTCCTGCACAGTAAAGGCACTCGTGGCGATCCGCATGGACGCGGCGTACTCAATGCTTTCACGCACGGTTAGCTCCTCCAATGCAGTGAAGCCCTCGTCGATAAGCACCGTGCGGTGAAGGTACGCGGGAGCATCCAATGGAATGCCGTTCATCATGATCGTTCCGCTGGCACACTCCTCACGCCCTGTGAGTGCGCCAAGTAGGAAGGAGTCACTCTGCGTGCCACTGCAGTTTACAATCGCCGTCAGCCGACCGCCGTATATGATCCCGGAGGCACTGTTGATTACAACACGCTTGTCCCGCTGTATCGTTAAATTCTCAAACCCCAGCGTCAGCGATAAAGAAGAGACACTCGAGGCTGAAAAATCACTGGAGCCGGCAACACGTGAGGTAGACATACTCTCTTACTATTCCCTCTATATAAACAAACAAAAATAAAATTAAAAACAAAAAATAAAATAAATTTTGATATATATATTTACGTATATGTGGCTATGTACTAGTGGCTAGTCGTTTGGCAATGCAATGTGAATACGGCAACAGGAGCAACAAAGACTCAGAATACACACACAGACACACACAAACAGACGCAGAAGGAAAAGGGGGAAATTGAGCCTATTTATAGGCCCATAAACGAGAACGTCTCTTACAATGACCAGCAAAAACCAAATGAAACATTCTTCCCTCCCTTTAGTACCAAAAAGAAAAAAAAAAAAAAAAGGCGGCGTCTTCACTGCAAAAAAAAAAAGAAACAAATGTAAAGTGAGGCGCCAGATATTTTAATCAAGATGCATTTAATAAAATAAAAACGCATAGGAGAACAGACGCATTTGACCTGAGCTCATGCAAGAGGTGTGCAAAAAAGCCGCACTGCATCGATTAGTTCCCTCGTCGGCCGTGAAGCTTCATCCAAAGCGTTTGGCGGCAACAGCGCCGTCAGGGAGCGTAACTTCCGCTCAAGCAACGCAAGGAATCGCTGGCCAGCCACTCGCTCCTCCACGGTAAGAAAAAAGGGTCGTGTGTTGATGTGCTGCAAGATGCGAAGTGCAGCAGCCCCGCCACGTGTCCCAAATTTTTCATTGCCTGCACCCCACAGCACCTCAAGTGCCAATTGTCGTGTAACGGCGCAAAAGGTGCGGCGCACCGTCAGGTGGCGACACGGCTGCAAAACATACGCCATTGCGTCAAGGATGTCGTAACGATTTGGCACATCCGCTGCCGTACGGACAAGAGAGTACTGCCACGTTGGGGCCACGGCTGCTGCCGCCAGCGTGGCGGGCTCCACAAGACCACGAATGACTCGCGCGGCGCTCTCCACGGCCACCGAAAACGCAGCCGGTGACATCTTCCTGACGTCCGTCCCAGAAAGAGATCTCTCCGGTAAATGCTGCCGTTGTGCGTATTCCCCCTGTTGCCGTTGCAATTCCTCTTCAACGGAAGTTAACAGCATTTCCCTCGCGACGACGCACTCTAGACGGACAAAGTGTTCAATAACAGCCATGAATGCCTCCCGCAACTCCAGTGGCACGCGTGGCTCGCCTCCATTCTGTACCTCATGCCCCACCCACTGCACCACAGTGGAAGAAAGCACTAAGAGGTGGGCGAGTCGGTCATTGCAATGCCCAACAACATTGCCGCTTTGCCACATGGATGCTGCAAGACCCAACGCAATGTCGTTCTCAAGCCTGGCTGCCACGCTGGGAAACGGTGGCGGTCTCGCTTCCCTTGCAAGCAACAACTGTGTCAGACCTCGACCTTTCCGCCTGCCAATACACGGCTCCGCACGACAATAAGACGCGCTTAGCCATGAGAAGGTGGAGCGTTTGCCCGCCCGCCGTCGCTGACCCTTCTCCTTCTCCGCCTGAAGACAAGAAGACACTGAATTGCGAACAGCTGTGGATCGTCGAAGCATCTGCAACGGTGACGCGTACTGAGAGGCAAACATACGCCCACCCTGTTCGGTAGCTATTGGCTCACCACCATGTCGTTTTAATTCCCGCTGAATACGGATAGCCTCCACCACTGAGAGATGCAACGGCTGCTCGTCACCACCGTAACCACGACTACCACCCACGCAATGCACCGCCGTCATCTGGATAAATCAAAGAAGAAAAAAGGTTCCTCAATTGTTTTGACTGGGCCCCTCTTCAAAAAAGGCAAAACGAACTAAAAGACAAACGGCAAAATCCCCTTGTTCCATGAGCCAACACCCACAAACAAAGAAAAGATAAATTGAGACGCATATGGAAAAGGTGCAGTAACCAAAACAGAGCAATCGCGCCTTCCACAACGCAAATAGACGCCTTTTTCAAAGCAAACTAATCAAATACAAAAAAGAGCCGGCCTCAGCGGTGGGAAATATATATGTATAATTAAGGTTGCGTAGTAATAGACAAACTGCACGCAATGTGTTACAAAAGCCCTTCCGCCTCCAAGAGTACACGATATTCAGCAAAAACGCGCTGTAACATGGCACTTGGGGAGGCACTGGTGATCATCACTCCCAGCGCCTGCCGAAGTGCTGCACGAAGCGCATCCTGCTCCTTGTATTGTGCAAAGTTCTCTAAGGAACTCCCCGACACCTGCAAAGACTCACAAAGTGCACGAGCTACTTTGGGTGAGAGATCTTCCACGGCGTAGCGCCCTGCCGCAAGACATGTCATGGGAACCTTTGCAAGTGCCATTGCCGCCTGTGTGCGCACTTTAAATATGCGATCGTGGCAAACAATAACGCATAGTCGTTCCACTGCCCGTGTTGCCGCCTGTGGCTCCGCCTCAAAGACTACCTCCCGCGAAAGACCAAGTCCAAGAGCACATGCAGCGTTCCAGCGTAGCTTGGCATCACGGTACGAGGGCAACAAAAAACGGAGTAGAGCGTTAAAGTATCCCTCCGCCACACCCTCCCGCTTTTCTGACAATTCTCCAATAAGTTCCTCAAAACTAAGACTATGCAACAGGTGACTCATCATACGGATACCATGGCTGACAACTGCGGGGTCCTCGCGAACTTGTGTTGCGTACATGGCAACGTCGCAAAGAAGCTGCATATGATATGGAGATTGCCGCAGTGGGCTACTATCATTCTCTTCTCCAAGACGAGAGGTAATGTTCGACAGGGCAAAAGCAGCCTTAAAACGCACTGAGGGCTCTGCATCATCACACAATGCACTTACAGAGCGTTCAACAAAGTCCGATAACCATTCACCAAACGTATTGTACTGCCACGCCCACACCCCTATCGTTGTAAAAGACTCAGACCGCACACTACTCTCATGTGCAGTTGTACTATTAATTACATGTACAACAATCCCTTCACGCACGGTGGCGGGAATGGAAGAAAAGTACTCGTCACCGACCTGCGCCACACACCGTAGTGCCGTTCGCCGAGCCTCATTGTATCGCAACCCATCAGACGTCATCTGAAGAACTGGCAAAACGAGTTCTGTAAGGAGCTGCTTCTTCTGATGCGGGGTTGCGCGATGGGGCAAGTGTTCCTGTCGCAGTGCCGGATCGGCAGAATGACCGTCAAAAGACTGCCACACGTAACCCATAAAATGCAGCCATGCCCGTAAACATTCTCCCAATGTATTGCCCACAGCCATTTCCGCGCCCTCGTGTTGCTTTTTATTCTCAGCCGCCTCTTCTTCCTCTATTTTTTGTGAGGCGGCACGGAGAACAGCGAGAGACGCATCCAAGAGAATGGTGAAATGCGCCCCGACGATCAATGGATGAATACGGGACAGCTGCACCACACACCGCCAAACCTCAACACGACTCGCCGCGTGCGTGAGCAACGCCTCCAGCAACAGGGCGCCCCCGCCAACATGCCGGTCTACGGGACGATTGCTTGGACCCTTGATTTTAGGGCTGGCGTCTCCGCCCTCACAAAAAAGGTACGACTGCAGCATTTTGGTAAGCGAGTCCGCCTTAAATACAGAGATAAGAAACGCCGCTGCCGGTGCAAATTCGTCACAGGATGCATCCAAAAGAATATCTCGTAACAAAGGCAGTTCTAAAGCCTCTTTTATCACATCAAATGCATGAGGGCAGCGGCGGTAGGGAGTGGTGGACACAAGCACCCCAAAGGAAGAAAGCACAAGGTCCTTGAAGAAGTGAGAAGTGGTGGCCGTAGCAGCAGACATGTCACCCACCGCGGGCAGCTTATTTGGCAGCTGCAGGGCATATATTAGTACGTCGTGGAGAAATGACAGGGTCCGACCACTCTGTGACGCCAGTGACGAAAATGACTGGCGATTTTGATGTGGTTCTTCTGCGTATTTAAAGTTGTGCTGCAAATTACGTAAAAGAGACGATACAAGTGCGGCCGCAGCAGCGCGGACACGTTGTTCAGGACTCCATAAGAATGGTGTAAGAAGTGGATGAATAACATGCGGATCCCTGGCATCGACTTCCGGGAAGAGCGCCGGCAAATACCGCATGGCGTTAAATGGTACATTGCTAAAACGCGTCAGTGCCGCTGTCAGCAAGTACAAAGCTGCCATATTCAACTCTGCGTAAAGGTCCAGAGAAATTGTAGGGCCTTTCAACAACTTCTTGTCACCTTTTCCACGTTGCGCCGCGCCATAAGTTGAGAGCCGCACCACGGCGTCCACTGCAACCCGAAATGTTTCTTCCGCTGTCTGCATTTCCTGGCCCGGATTCTCATTCTCCGTGCTTTGGCGGTTATTCTGATCGTGACGGCGGAAGGGTCGCGTCACCGGTGTGGTGCGACCACTACTCTCTTGTGAGGAAAATTCGCCAGGAGACCCCGCCGATGGCCGTGCGGTAGCAAAGCAGTACAAAGCCATCACCCTCAGAAGAAGCAAAATGCGCCCAGCCATCACCCGCTCGTCGTTATTTCCAGCTGCCGCGGACATTTTTAGTGAGTGCATAAAACCGTTCAGTTTCGACACCGCCCCCAAATACAGGGACGGCGTGGGGATGGCAGTTTTCTCCCATGACCGCACTGCTGTTGAATCCGCTGTTGTTGCTGCCTCTGTTGTAGACACGTGTGGAAATGTTCTCTGCATAATCACACTGGCCTCTGCCTCCATATTGGTGAGCTCTCCGCAGCCACACACCAACGCCTGAGCATCGCGAATTAATGTGTCACAGAAGGTCCAAATAGACCTACAGACTGCACTCTCCGTCTCCCCCAAAGAAAATGGCAGCATTTTTGTCGCTGAGCTTTTCCGGAAATAGCAGCACAAGAATATCCAACTATTTAATGTGTTCAGCCTCCCCCTTCACACACACACACACACACACACACACACACACTCTCTCTCTCTCTCTCTCTCTCTCTCTCTCTCTCTCTCTATGCGTCTATTATACGTATCTCTGAGGCCACTTTTGAACTGCTGCTCACGATGGAAACCAAATAAAAAAAAAAAAAAAAGCAGGTGGAAGAAAATAAACAAGGAGAAGAATTTAAAGGAGAAAAAAAAAGTCATTTCTCACTCTACTCCGTTATTCAAAGAAATGCCAGGCATTCTCACACGCCCTCACTTTCGTCTTTCACATAACCAGCACTCTTTTCTTCGTTCCTTCGCTCAGCCCGCTCCCTTTTCCCCAAGTCTGGTGTTGAGCCAGCGGGATGACACTAGCTGACAAACAGATCCGTGACTACGAGAGACGTGCGGCTCCGAATCCCTTTTTGCGCAGCCTCATCGCACCACCGCCTGTCTTTGACTCTTTGTTGATGCTCGGGTCAACATGCCGACCGGGAACTTTCTCCATAACACTGCTGTTTTCTGAGCTCTGTGGCTTAAAAAAAACTTCTGGATCGTTGGTTCCCCACACTTCATCGTCGCTGAAGCCTGAATCCGTGACCGGTGTCGACGTCGTGGGCATCGCTACCTTCGCGGATGTCGTGTTCACGAGTGAAGTCGAATGAAATTTATTCATACCATTAACCCCACTACTGCACATAGAACCTGCACTTTTACCTTCTCCCCCTTCGGACGCAAACTCACACTTGACATCACCCACCGTCGTTGTCGTTTTGTTGGCGTTTCGCCCCCAGCCCCACCAGGAAGAGTTCACCTTCTGAGTGCCCACCGTCTCGTTCTCATCGGGTCCAACATTTGCTTTTGTATCACGTAAAGATTCCTGAGCGTTGTACTTATCAAGATAACCGAGCGCCTCACGTATCACATCCAATGCCTCCTGTCGTACCTCACGAACGCTGTCCATGGTGAGTGGCCCCACACCAGGAATCAACAGCTCCGCAATGTGCTGCGGCGTCAAGTGCACCAAGCATGTATGGAAGGAGCGCAGAGCCCCAGCACGGCTGGGAACAAAAGGATCCCGCAGCATACGGCCAAATGCGTGAACAAGGATATGTGAACGGTTCCCCGCAGGAATTTTTTCAGCAATGAGACAGAGACTAATCGTAGCATTTGTGCGGATAGCACCTTCGGTGTCCTGCTGTAACTGAGAAATAAATTTAGGAACTTCATTCTGGATAATCTTTTCGCTTAACAGGCTGGCAAATGAGACTAAGGCACGCGCAGTGTATTCTCGAATGCTTGGAACAGGGTTGCTGAACCCCAACACAAACAATGGCCATAATTGCTCATTCACTGCCGTCGGCGATAAAAAGGACGCGTACTCGGATGCCCGCTGAAGGAGCCTATATCGAACCATCCTGTCTTGAGAAGCAAACAGAGTGAGAATAATGGGTGTCACGTATTTGTCGTATTCTTCCTGTTTAGTGATTTGCGAGGCAACCTTAATAACGGGATCAATGACTGCTGGAATGACACCAAATTTAAACGAGTCATGAAGTTTGTGCAGCACCAAACACTTAGATGCCCTCTTGGGAAAAGTGTCGACAACCTCGGTGAGGTGCTCAAAGAATCGTTCTCGCTCTACGGTGTCCTTCAGGGACAAATCGTCCAGTGCCTGTATACACTGCACAAACTCACTTCCAACGATGAATTCGCTGTTCTTCAAGAAGCGTTCCACGTCGTGTCGCATTTTAGGGTTAGCAGCACAAAGGCCAATGAAGCCGCTTTGCAGCGTTCGAGGAAGATCCCGGCACCCACGCATGTCATTCGCCTTACATGTCACTGCAAATTGACTCCGTGACTGTTCTCTTGGCACACCCAGCACCTCGTATATGAGGCACGCCAATCCCCAGGAGTCAACATTACTTATATGCATACCGGTTTCATAGTTTAATTGGAGTGTTTCCGGTGGTCGTCGCAGCTCCGGCAGCAACGAGGCGTACCGTTGGTAAATGCCATGGGGTTCATTGAATGTCGTAACCAACTCGAGGCCAAACAAACGCCACTCCCCACCTGTGATAACAAATACGGAGTCCGAGGAGACGTTTCCATGCACAAAATTATTCCGATGTAGTGCAGTGAGGGCTGTTCCGACAGCCTTCAAACCCAAAGCAACACTCTCCAAGAACGCCTCCTCCTCATCCCCGTCCTCATCACTTGATGCGTTCGATGACTGCAACAACTGAGTCGTCAACGGTTCACATGGTTCCGTGGCGATGTACACCGTCTCTTGGTGCTCTGCCGCCCCGTAGCAGCGCAGAAGACCCGGCAACAGCAGGCTTTTCGCACGCTTCATCGCATGTCGCGCCAATTCCTTCACACTGCTGTCTGCCTTTGATAAATTGAGGGAAAATATAGTAACATCCCGCCCATCCTCGCTTCCCACGCCGGGGCGCATCGTCCAAGTAAGAGTGGGTGTGGCAGCGGTAGTGCTACCAACGCCACTACTAGGTGTGTAGGGAAATCCCGGCACTGCCTCCAAGAGGCCCATGGCTTTCCATAGAAAGGCCATTTTTGAGATATATATGTATATATATATTGTGTGTGTGTGTCTTGGAGTGAATATGACACTCTTACAAATCAATTGTTAAGACAAATAAGTATAAAGAAAGATAGAGAGTCTCTGCAATGTATTACAGCGCCCAGCAATGTGATTCTGCTGCCTCTCTTTGTCTTTTGATTTGTTCGTTGGTTGACTCCTTCCCTTTTTTTTATGTGTCGTTGTTGCTGAACCAGATAAAAATAAATAAAACAAGAGAACAAGAAAAAAAGAAGAAAAAAAAAAGTTTAAGACATTGCTTAACTCCCTTCCTTTAGGTCTCACGTTCATGGTGTTGCGGTGGGACCGCTACAACAACACACACGTAGGAAGTGATTGGTGAAAATCAATTATTGCCCACAACTTTGCAGCAAACAAACAAACCCACCACACGATTGAGCTTCCACACGCAAACGCACACACAAACACGCATGGCTCACCTTTTGTGGTCTCTTTTTTTGGATGCCGCAGCGGCTTCATACGCGGCACGAGCGTCGCCGCACTTCTCTCTCTGCCGCTCCAGTATCCTTTGGCTCACTGCCACCTGTTCACGGATGGACTCCGCCACTGGGCCGTATTTGGTGACAAATTCCTTCAGATTTTCCGTTCGCTGCAATAATTCATTCAGCGCCATGTCGCCTTTCGATATCGTGGCTCGAAGTTTTTCATTCACGGAGGACAACTTTTTTTCCGTCGCCTCCTCATGCTGTTTCTGCCAGTATTGATGCTTCGCCTCGTACTTATTGAAGAGTCGCTGGTAGTTGCTCAAGGCATCCTGCTCCTCTGCTGTTAGCCCGGGAAGTGTGGCGGGCCATGCAAACCCCTCCCGCATAGCAACATCAACTTCCCCCGCACCTCCCTGCGATAAAACAGAAGCCTTTCCACTGCCAACAGGCTGCAGTGGCCCTTCACTAATGAAACCACCGTCCCGCACAACCTCGTATGACCCTGTTGGCGCCACCGCCTCCAGAGCCTCCTCAGACTCCCGCAGTGCACATGACTCTTCCTCTATAGCCGCCTGAATCCGCCTCAAACGCTTCATGTGTGCAATCAGTTGATTATGCTGCTCGCGATAGTCCTGCAGGGTTTCTTGTTCCTGCTTGATGCACTCCTTGATGGCATTTACTTCCGCTGCAGCATTCGCATCTCGTGCCAATTCCTCCACGGGTTCTGAGACGTCATCATCATCATCATCATCATCCTCATCTTCATCTTCATGACTATTATTATAAGCATCATCCTTGTTTTCCTTGTCGCCATTACACTGTTCCTGTATCTGCTGCAAAAATGACGGCAAAGAAAAAAATAACGGCGGCGGTGTTGGTGATAAGGACTCCAAGAAATCACCAGTTATATTGTTCGCCAGCAAAATTGAACGGAGGTGAACAGCGTATTTCCTGGCCGCTTTCAGCTCCGCGTCCTTTGCCGCAATATTACGAATCAACCGCTCCATCTCCTCCGTATTGGCAAGTTCCTGTGCTGCACGTTGTTGAGCATCGGAAGCGTGCGCATCCCTCACGCGCTGACGCTCCGCCCTCACATTTTCCGTGACGTGAGAAAGCCACGCCATTTCCGCGTCCAGCTCTATGTACTGCCTGCGCAACTCTTGCAGCGCATCGCTGCTACACTCCTGAACGACCGGCCTTGCCTGCTGCGGTGGAGAGACTAGTTTTTCTTTCCCCTCAATGACGGATACTCGGACGTGACGGCTGCAAGTAACGGTTTCTTTTTCCCCCTCCTCTTCCTCGGTTTTTTGCAAACGGGCATCCGCAAGACATTCCCCATGAGGATTTCCACGTCCCTCAGTCTCATATTGAAAACAGTCACCATCACGCCGCCTCTCACTCACACGTTGCCCGGAGCAGCGACGCGGCACCTTCTTCAAGAAAGAAGCGTCCTTCTTTGTGCGCCACCCCTCGTCCTCAGCGGCCGCATTACAATCCACGTATTTTGGGTGGTGGTCTTCCACACCGCTGCTGCTGATCTTGTTACTGTTGTCAAGCCCATTTTTGCAGCCGCTAGTACTACCGCAGCCGGGCACAACAAAAACTTCAGCCTTATCCTGTTTGGTCTCATGTGGCGGGGCCACCCCCGCAGCATGATTCAAGATATTATCGCTATCCTTTTCTTCAAGGACAATGTTGTCCTCTGGAGACAGCGATATGGTCTCGACAAGCTCCTCACGTGCTGCTGTACGCATCCTGGGGCAACCCTGACGATCATCACGAGTAAAAACGATAGGGAAAAGACCAAATCGCCCGCCCGACTCCACAATGGCCCACGGATCAACACGGCGCACCAGACGCAACCGTTCACCTGGCTGTGCAGACAGACAGGCATCGGCATACGGAGCACCAGCAGGTGGCGAGTACGGAAAAGCCACAATCCGAAAGGACATTTCCCCCGGACTAATGCCTGATTCTCTTCTCCCGCCTTCCTCCTCGCCACACAGACACAAAACCTTCTTTTCTTGTCTTCGCCCCTGTCCTGTTTTTTGACCCCCGCCAGAAATGTAACAAAAACAAAAAAAAAAGGTTTGCGGCGAACGTGGCAACACACAAAAAAAAAAAAATGGTAATAAAGAAGCGTGAAAAATTCGGGAAATTTTGGGAGAAAAAATTACGATGCATCCCCCTCATTCATGCCCTTTTTGGCGGTGTCTTCATCCTCCTCATGATGAAACCCCAAAGTTCGGGAGGCCACATCTATTGCCAGCAATGATGATAAGTCAAAAGAAAAAAGTTATAAAATAATTGTCGCAGCCGTGAGGCGTCAAAAAGCGTCAGTAAAAGTCCCAAATGTCCCACATTAAATTACAAAGTCTCATTATTTTTTTTTTTCCGTCGTGGTATTGGTGCAGCCGATAAAGATGATGTCCCTTACCTCCGTTTCTGTGTTTACCCGTCTGATTTGAGGTTTTGTACCTTGTCTTTTTTATTTTATTTTATTTTTTTGAGGAAAAGGGAATAAATTTATTCGTGACTGCCTCCTCCACTGCTCTCGTTCACGGTGCATGCCGGCAGGCGTGTGCTTGCATTTTTTTCCTTTCACACCACCTCCTTCTCCCCTCGCCCCGCCCCCTCTTCCTCACGTCTTTGCTGTTTTTTGCTCGTCATTCCTTGGGGCGCTTCTTACCGCAGGTGCAGACCACTTTCTCCCTGTAGTTCTGGCGGTGACACTCCACGCAGTACCAGTCGCCTCGCGACCAGAAGGAGAGCACGTCGGAGCGAATGCCGTCCACTGCGGGCAGTTGGCACACTTGGCAGTGCGCATCTTCGTTGCGGTTCACCTTGTGGCAGGCACAGAGCCAGTGCTGGCCATCGTTCAGAGGCTGATGGTGCCATGGAACCCCGCAGCGCTCGCAATGGGAAAAGCCATGCAAAACGCGGTCCACCTTCCACGCTGCAGCCTTCTCATTTGAAGCGTTTCTGTCTACAGGCGACGATGGGTCATGACGCTCCAACGCTACAACGTGGCGTGATGCCTTGTTTACATGGTTACAGCTCTCACAGAACCAATTTGTTGTTCCTGCAAAATCCCAAACACGCAGCAGCTCTCCTAGTATGGCGGTTTGAGGCAGGCGCCGCGGAAATCGACACCTCGGACAGGAGAGGGTGGCGGGATTACCGACCTGCCCGCAGGCGCAAAGCCATGCGTCGCTTCGGGAGGAGGCAGTCGCGCCATGCAAAGGACTTTTACACGCTTTACAGTGCTGCTCCGGGGCCAAACGAGGAAAGCAATTGTGTAGACCAAATGGGCGTGATACATGGATGTAATCAGCCGGCTCAGAGCCATACATTTGCTTGTTACTCAACATCTGCGACGCCTTACAATTAGGGCAAAAGACGGCAAACTCAAAACGACCCTTGTTGCAATTTCGACAAATTGACGATTGGAGAGCGTTGGACTCCTGACACGACGGACAACGCCACCTTACAATGCGATTCCGTGTCACAATCACTGAGCCCACCGGGGCACGCTGAATCTCATCCCCCACCCGCTCATGATGCGTCACATGTAATTCATTCTGCTCATCTCTCCGCAAGCTACACGAGCGGCAGGCCAAGTCACGTTCAAAGTTAAACTCACGGCATCGACTGCAAAACCAAGTGGTGGGATCTTCACGCCAGCCTGCCACTGCCTTCACCGCATCGTGTCGAATGGTTTGGCAGAAGTCGCAGACTGAGCGAGAACGATGTGGCATACAACGGAAACACGACCCACACACCCACCCACCTAAAGCAAGAGTACGTATCCCCTCTTCCGTTTTCTCTACACGATGAACTTCACACCACTGCCGCTCCGTGGGCAATTGTGGAGGTGGTATTTCACCACTGTGTACCGGTTCAGAATCCAATGGTAAGTCTTTGGGACACGCAATGCGGGCCATTTGTTCTTCGTGCGCACGGCGTTTATCGTGTCCTCCGTTAGGGATTCTTGTATTGAACTCAATTGCATCGACTGGCCATGGTGGCAGAACCTCCAACCGCCCCTTGGCACTCATTTCCAAGGCACCCGCCAACGGCTCTGTAGGGTGCAGACGAACGTCGTGAGCAGCGTGTCCTCCAGACGCCATCCTACAAATTCCGACCGGGCCCCACCGCTGCAGTTGTCTCCTACCCCACAGTGGAACAGACCATCGCCGCATTCAGAATTTTTCTTTCCACACTCTTCGTTTTAGACCCCCCGCTCCCACAGCCTCTTGCCAAGATCATAGGAAGAGAATCACAGACACACAAAGCAGACATCAAAAAGAAGAGAGAAGAAAATGACAGGTACACACAAACGGAAGAAGCAGTGAGGGTAGCGTTATTCAAATTCCTTTTCTTATTAAATAATAACAGGCAGTCAGTCATACAAACTCCAGTCGGTACAACATGTGTATACGCACTCTTCCCTCGCATGTTTTCCCCTTGCTGTTCCCTCTTTTTCTCCCCCTCCTTCTTGCATGGCTGTTGACACAGAGACAACTCACCCACAATGCTCAAAAGCTCATGAAATAAAAAATCCAAACATCTACAAAAAATAAATAATTACACCAAGAAGAGAAGGACATGAAAAGGTGCGATTCAGTGCAACGAGAAACAGATGCGTGTATGTTGCCCCCGCACGCGACTATTTATAATTGTGAGAAAGGGAAAGAAAAAATGGAGGAGACAATGACGGCAATGCTTCGCATAGCAAATTAAAGTAAGGCATACGCATTAATCCGCAAGTAAAACAGAAATTCCACCACCACCAAAAATAGAATAAAACGGATAATGATAGCTTCCAATAGTTGAGGGTAAAAAGAAGAAAGAACAAGGCAGGCATTACTGTCGGCCATGCGCTCTACTCCGGCGGTGGCGGTGGCGGTGGATCTTCATCGTCCTCGTCATCCTCATCGCTTTCCTCTCCGTCATCGTCGTCATCTTCTGGTGGTGGCGGTGGCGGCGGCGGTGGGTCCTCCTCGTCATCGTCGACCTCCTTTTCGACACTCTCCGATTCATCATCGTCATCATCATCCGCAGGCGGCGGTGGCGGTGGCGGTGGCAGTAAATTATCATCACTCTTATTACCTTCTACTTCTGCAATAACGTCCCCACCGTCACCGCCAATCGGAGGAGCTGGCGGTGGATTAAGACCGTTTTCCTCTACCCTTTCTGCCGCACCACCAGCTGTGGTCTGAGGGCGTCCACTCTTTCCGCTCGGCAAATCAATGCCCTGCATGGCAAGTCTCAGCATTTTCTCCTTGTGCGCCTCGAGTGCCCTCAACTTCGCCTCCTTAAAGGCCGCCTTACGCTCCTCCTGCTTGGACTTGCTGCGGATCGCGCTCTCCGGCAGGATGCGAAGGTGCGGCGCCAACAACTCCACCTCCACCTCCTCGTAGTTTCCAATCAACAAACGCTCGCGGGGAAAGTGAATGGCACGTTGCTTCTTAGCGGCACTCATCACACTCGCCAGACGCTCCTGAAACAAGTCCTGGAGAGTGGAGTCACTGTAAATTTCACCCCAAAGAAGAACAGCACCTCGCCCTGCATCTATTTTCTTCAGCGACCCGTTCAGTCGCTGAAGCTCACGGAGAAGCAAGTCAATATCAGCGTTGGTGTCTATGATGAGCTCCACCATTTGCCGCCGCACACACACACACGCAAAAAAACGCCTTCGTCTCCTGAGGCTTCTACCCCTTTACCTTGTGCCCCTCTAACATGCACACACACAAAAAAGAAAGTAACAACCGCCAATATATATATATATATGAGACAGGGACAAAAGAAGAAAAGTTTTCTTTTTTAAGGGCTTTAATTACCCCTTCAACCTGAATTGTAGAGGATATTGGAAAGGATACCTCACAGGCAAGCACTGTGTAGCAATGATAAAACCGTGAGTATAAACGCGGAAAGGGTGTGACCATGCATCGCAACTGTTGGATGAGCGCATGCAAATCAAGACATTACAAGAGCACATTTTTGTTGCGCGGAATCCCCCCTTCTTTCTTGTTGTTGTTGTTGTTGTTGTTGTTCCCCCCGCATTCCAACTCCAAACCCCAAAACCCCTTCTTGGGAACCTATATTATTCCGGCTGCCTTCAATTCTGAGATCGCCTCCCGAATTCTACCACAGCGGAGAAGTCCCTGCGCTCGTTTCTTCACTTCCTTTTCGTGTTTTCGCCGTAGACGCAAAACGGCATGTGACTCACCCGCAACAGCGCAAACTTCACGACACTCATACGGCTTGTCGCACCATCGACAGAAGTGCTTTGCGCTTTTCCTTTCAACAACTCCGCAGGGGATTGCTGTCGTCGCCATCCCCGCTAAAGCGCCGCTGACAACTGTACATGTCGTAGATAACACGGGCTCCGCCCTCGGTGAGTAAAGATATCCAAATGACGATACCGACCCATCGGACCGCTCCGGCCGCGGTGACGTATAACTGCGTTGCCACATGTGTCGGCTTGACCCGCGACTTTCCCTCTCCGCATCCTCAGCTCTCCTTGACAAACTCGAGGGCGGTGGCGATGGTGGTGGTGGTATTAGTCCGCCTCGACGACACGGTGCAACTTTGTGCTGCGCTCTTCCCGTTCTCTCGAGTACAGGGGTGTCCAGGCTGGTCAACGACTTGCTGTGTAACGACGCTCCGTAACGCTGGTAGTGGGCCCCACACGAATCCGGTAAATCGGAATGGATGAGAGACGGAGACTCTATGAGACCCTCGCGAAACTCCCTTGCTGAAAGACTCAGTTTAAACGACGGCTTCCAATCATTCCCATCCATCTTAGCCGCATTAAAGTATCCGTCTCGTAGACACACCAGCGAGGGGGAGCGCAGCACTCTCACCTGTGAGGCTTCCTTGTGGTCCGCCCTTAAACCCATTAATTGTGTTTTCCTTTCATTGTCCCCTGGTTCGTAGTATGGCCTTTCTCCACAAAGCCTTTCCACCCGCACCTGCTCACCAAAATGAGTGTTGGGATTCACATCATTATCATCATGGCTCATAATATTTACAACCATCGTTGAATTATTTTGGGGTGGTGGTGGTGCAGGTGAAAGAAGTCCACTCCCCTCCCATCTTGGGAACTGAAGTGATTTCTGGTGGGAGTTGGAGCCCTGACAGGTCTCGTCGGCCCCTTTCTCGTGTGAAGAAACAACGGAACTCCACATTGAGTTCTCTTCAATAAAATTCTCACCAACAACAGGGGGGCGGAGAAGACCTGACTCTGCATGCATCAAAAACTCCTCGCCAATGCTGCTGAATGTAAACAAAGAGGGGGTTTTCGCGGATCGACTGTCGCCCAGGTGACTCGTCCTCTGAGAGGCACTAGCAACCCCTACAGCGTCTGTAGGTGTTACTTCTTGATCGAACCGCTGTGGGAAGGCCCGTTCCCTCGCATATGAATAAAGAAACGCCTCTCGCACATCCAACTCTTCTTTTTCAATGAGAGCTCGCCCAGACATCTCATCTTTAATGAGAGTTTCCTTCTTAGCTGTGATTCCGTCATCTTCCTCGTCTTCTTCCTTCTGCTGTTTCGTTTCAGTTTTTGAGTTATTGTCGCCATCTGGCTGCACAGCCACATTCTTTGAAATTAGCGTGGGGAGCAAACTCCGGTTTTTCCCCTGGGATCCGGTCTCCGCGTCCCCAGGCGCGTCAAGAGCGGAGGGATGAGAATGCGGCGACGGAGCGTCAGTGTGCTCCTCCTCATGGCAGGAGATGCAGGTAAATAGTGCGGATGTGTGGGAAAAACTGACAGAATACTTCCTCTTCATACTCACAACAGCGGAGAGACCCACCACGGGGCACTCTGTATAGTTCTCGGTTGTTGATGTTGTTTTCGTCGTTGACCCCGAACTTGTCGCCGCAAACTTGTCATTAACCCAAAAAGAAGGAGGCGAAGGTCCATCTGACATGCCATTCATGCACACTGCCGTTGATTCCGGCTCGGCAGTCACTTCCCTGAACACGGGGGCCCACTGGCGGCAGCATTCCTCTGGCCCCCTCTTCGTGTCATTCACAGCCGACTCGCCCATCCCGCTTGTCACCGCTGTTGCCCCTGTCACGATCGGTTTTGTCTTCGTGTGGTACGCGCTAGAGCAATTGGTTCCTACGTTTTCCAGTGCTGGGGCCGTCAATGTAATGCCAGATGACACGGAAGGAATCGAAAGCACATCTTCCTGTTCCGGCAAAATTTCTTCACGGGCATGTGAAGGGGTGTCCGGCCCGGACAACGCAACCACACTCGAGGTGCCACAACGCTGGATGTTTGATTCACTCTGTGCAAACATGCGACTACGACGGCCGCGACGCCTCCGCCCACGGCTGCTCGTGCTGATGCTTCTTGCGTGGGCAATGTTGCCATCGGCAGTGTCCTTGGCGCATGTCGCTCCCATCACTGTAGTTGAGCAACGAAAAGGAACAAAATAAAAATAAAAAAATAAAGCATCCATCAGAGTGAGAAGACACCAACAAAAAAACACATGCAACTACATGGAGTGCCAATCTCAAAAAAGTACTGATATGCCTCCATAAATAAAGGACCCACCAATAAGAAATGATTCATGAAAGAAGATATGTATTTGCTCAGAGACGTGTACTCACACTCTCGCACCATCCCTCTTTTTCTCCCAACTTCAACTTTTCCACCAGTCTATGTTATGTCCTGCTTGTGCATGTATGTTCGCGTGTGAAAGTGTCACCAACATCTAAGGCTGCTGATGACGAGACGCTAGAGACATCCATTTGGCGATGCGTTCTGCCAATGCTGAGGCAGCAACGATGGACGCTTTCCGCTCCTTCTTCAACGCAGAACTATTACCTACCGGGGCCAAGTCCAGCTGAACGACATACTGGGTGAGTAGCTCATCAGCCTCGACTGCCTTTCGCAGAATAGCCTCTCGCAGGGTCTCATCCACCGTCTCTTCGGTCCGAATACCAGCGGAAGCGGCATTCATATTACCGGCTTCCTCATGCTCCTCCTCAAATACGGTATTCGTGTCTGATAATTGGCTCTGCCAGCGCCTACCAAGGCTCTCCAGCTCACTCAACACAAGAAGAAGCGGTGCCTCATGCGTTCGTTCCACCCGGCGTTGAAACATGCGGAATGCGCTCTCTGTGGCGTCAACGAAGTTGATTTCATCATCATCCTCTCCAGTTTGCCGGAAAATCGATCTACCTGACGGGCAGCACGAGCTTTGCCCGCTGTCTCCCACGGTGTCACCACTAAAGCCCTTCATGTGAGCAAACGGTGAGTGCCAAAACCACCGCAGCCCCCAACCAGACGCCGGCCTCTTCACATTATCCTGCGCAGATCGAGTGTTCCGTCGCTCTCCGCACACGCGCCAGATCCATTGGCACATGTACCCCACAACCACAGCACCGCAAGTTCCCAGCAGAATGTTTTTGTGGGTCCGAAAAAAAGACCGCAATCGCCGCAGCAGCCGCACAGTGATCTCCTTCACTTTTGATTCCGCAACTGCAGCGCCTCTACTGGAGGCCTTCGGCCGACTCGCTCCTAAAGAAACGGCGACCGATAATTGGGGAGCATCGGACGCCTCCGTCTGGAAAAGCCGACGAAACATCCTTGCAGCCGTGCCCTATTGAAATCTCCCACCCTGTGCGTCAATCGGCCAGGAAAAAAAGAAAACAAAACCAATTTGTTTACACCCTTTATCACCCTCCGCCGCCCCCACGACACCACACTGCAGCTAAATCATAAATGACGTAATCCATGCAGGTCCAAAAGAAAAAACATAAATAAATAAATAAAAAGTTGCACACCGCCAAAGGAGAACAAGGCGTAAAGAATGTCGTAGCACTGCTGCAACGGTGGGTTAAGAGAGTTCTATTTCTTCAAAAGAAGGGAGAAGTCATTAAAATTGAGAAAAAAAAGATTTCTATTTCTCTTGTCGTTTTACTCCGCTCTTTCTTTTCCATTTCTTATGTCTCCTTCACATTCATCAACGGTCGACGTCTTTGAGCGACACATTCATTCTTTTCAATACGTTCCCAACGGCATCCATGAGCGCAACACAATCGGGCATATGAATGTCCCCAAGCGTGCCGATACGAAAAGTATCGGCAAACGAAGCCTTCCCGGGGTAAATCACGAAGCCCTCGTCCTTGAGGCGGTCGTAGAACTCATTGAAGCTCCAGTTGGGCACCTGTGGACTACGAAAGGCGGTGATGACAAAACCGTAGGATGGTCTCGTGGGATCAAGAAAAAGCTCAAAGCCATACTCGCCCGTCATGCGGTCAACAATGTAGCGATTCATCTCCATGTAGCGCTTTGCACGCGCTGTCACCCCTCCCTCCTGTTCGTGCTCCAGTAGGGCCTGACGAAACGCAACGATGGCCTGCACTGGCGGCGTCTGACTGAATTGGCCGCCGTTCTTCTCAAGACCATCCCACTGCATCGAGACGTCAAGTGTGTAACTCGGCGACCACCCGCGGCATCGCTCTAGCAGGGCCCGACGTGCCAAAACGAGGGAAAAGCCCGGAACACCTTGAATGCATTTGTTCGCAGATGTCACCAAGATGTCGCACACATCCGGCACGGAAAAGTCCACGGCACCAAAAGAACTCATCGCGTCGACAAGAATGGTCGCCTCCGGGTGATGACGACGCACGATATCACTCACCTCCTCAATGGGGTTAAACATGCCGGTACTCGTCTCGCAGTGGACAATACCAACAGCAGTGACGGGAGACGTTATGTCGGCAAGTTGCCTTTTAAACGCCGCAAGGTCCATGTCAACACCCTCTTCCGTGTCAAACACCCGCAGCTCGGCTCCACCATGCTTCTCTACAATGGAGGCCATACGATAGGAGTAGGACCCGTTGCGAAGAACAACAAAAGCGCCCGAATGATTTGGAGGAATGATGGTGTTAATCGCTGCCTCGACGCCCATGGTGCCACTTCCCTGCATCGGCACACAAGCCCATTCCGCCTCTGGAGCTTTCCCTATTTTTAAAACACCGCGCCTCACCTCCGCCACAGCCGTGAGAAAATCCTTGTCACGGCTGCCGTAGTCATCAAGCTGTGCCTCCCGCACCGTTTGGGATGTAGAGAGAGGCCCAGCGGTAAAGAGAACGCCGTGTTTGCGGTGATGCCTTTGCGCGTAATTCCCCAGCGACATCTTCACTATGTGTGACAGCCTCATGAAGACAAGAGCTTAGCTACCTCCTTTTTATGGCCAATATTTTTCCCCCTTTATTGACGAACTTACGGTAAAATAGGGGAGAAAAAAAAAAAAATTCATCGTGCATGGAGAAAAAGGAATTAAAAAAGGAGGAGAAGGAAACACACTTAATGTGCTTACCGGTAATAACACCTTCCAGAGACTTTGTTTTTGTTTTTGGTATTATTTCATTTTCCTTTTTCTTTTTAAATAATAATAATAAAACAAGCAAAATTTCGTGATCATCAGTAAACAAGAGTAAGCAATTTATATACCACGTGAATTGCTACCACGTACTCATATGCATACACATGTAATAAATATATAAATATATCCATGTAGAATATACACCCTTCTATTGTATTACCATATATAACTGCATCCACGGCAACCCTTTACGTTGGTACCAATCGCGTCTTACATAGTACCAGTCCGAGGCCTCCGAAATCTCAATGATATCACCCACGCAATCAAAGTAGCGAATTCCAAGTTCCTCAGCGTCCACCTCGTTTGCATTATCAATGTCAAGAGGAAAAAAGAGCACATGATCAAGACCGTGGGCCTTCAAAGTCGCCTTGACTCGCCAAATAATGCCGTCCAGTCGTGTTCGTCGACTAATCGGCTTCATTGTGACAGTCATTGGGAGTACAAGCGACCCCACAGCGACAGCGGAGCCGCTTACTGGTGGTGGAGGTGGTGACTTATGCTGTCTTGTAATGTACGATTCATCTGGCAAAATGCAGAGAGTCACAGGCGTATCATACACCTCCATATTCGTCCCCCGCTCCGAGTCCGTCACGGACGACGTGCTTCGCCGGTCTACCTCGTCCACCTGACGCTTACTGAAATCCAACCGCGCTGGTGGCTGCACCGCCCACTTCTTGCAGCGCTCCGCCACAGCCGCCGCATCCCGTGCAATCCTCACCACTTCATTGGTTAGTAGTGACGTGTTACCATCGCGGTATCCCGTCGTTGAGTAGCCGGGAGAGGCGGTCAATCGACGGAGGGTCCGCTCAATCCCAGCGGTTTTGGTGAAATCGCCCCCAATTACCGGTCCCAATGTGGCATCCGTCACAAACAACGCCGCAGCTGCGGCTATAGAATGTGGACTTTGGGTCGACTCCAAGTTCCCTGGCATGCTCATGGTGGAGCTCATTTCCATTTCCTCCTCGCATGTCATCATCCCCCGACGCTCTTCAAAAAATGACTTGGCGTACAGTTCGTTGAGCTCCGCCCGCAGTCTTGACCTCTCCTCCTCATGAACGGCATATGCCTCGCGCATTGCTTTAAGTCGCCACTGCCGGTGTACATAACTCGCCATAATTTTTTTGCGCAAAATCTTCTCCAACGCCTCTGTGGAAAGACCTTGACAACGACCAACACTCCCAGGCGGACTCCGCACCTTCTCATCCACGTGGAATGTGTGAATCGCCGGCGTAGCAACAGCACGCGTCTCTTCCGCGTCCTCGCCTCGACCCGCCATTTTACGCCCTGCCATTGGTATCAAACCCCGCGTCTCCGGCAAATCCACTTCTTTATCGCCATCGGGCCTGGCACATGATAACGACAAACAGCGTCTTTTTCGTGGCGACAAAAGTGAAAAGTGCTCCTCGTCTATCCAGTCCACCTGCACGACGTCATCCTCGTGTCCCTCATGCAGAGTGAGCAGCGAAAAGGCTTCGGCGTGTCGCAGCCAGGGAATTTTATCAACCGTCTCGGATATTACCTCATGGCTCGCCAAACAGACGGTGTCGCCCAACTCCACCGCGTCAATTGTGGCCTGCAAGGCCGACGAGCCGCGCCGCAAACACCCAGCCAGAGAAGCCGATCGTGACGCCGCCTGTATAATGTCGTTTCGTCGTTCTTTTGGCAGCTTCTCCAGCAACGCCCCATAGGACTGACTAACGCTACTAGCAATCAATGCAGCCGCTTCTATCGTTGCTTCCCTCGTCTCCGTGTTGCTTTCGGTGGTTGACGTGAGACAGCGAGATATTAAGCCCTGTGAAGCACTCTCCCTCGTATTCGAGCTGTCGAGACGAGTCAATGATTCCCTCGAAATCGGCCGGCTCACGGTGCCTAAGGAGCCGGAGTGCGGTTCCGCAAAAAAAAACTCCCGCAACAGCTGGGACGCAGATGGTCGTTCCAGTGGATCCACGACAAGCATACGCTCCACCAATGCAACCACCAGCATGTGCAAACTCCTCTCTTGCTGAGTAAATGCGGCCCCGTATTTCGTCTCTAATGACTGCAGGTCAGATGGACTAAAAGTGTGCGCACGATAAAGTGCCTCCCTATCGTACTGTCCTTCTGTGACGACGTGAATTTGCGCCAGCACGTTATCTGCAACAAAAGGAAGTTTCAGACAGTACATCTCATAAGTGAGGACACCCAATGCCCACACGTCAGCACCAAACGAGTATGGCTCTCCAAGGCAGAGTTCGGGGCAAAGGTAAAAAGGCGTACCAATAAATGTGTTTGCCAACGGATCCGTCAAGTTTACAAGTTTGCTTGCACCAAAGTCCCCAAGTTTTACATTGCCGTTTTTGGTCATGTATACGTTAGCCGCTTTGACATCACGGTGAATAATGTAGCACTGATGGAGATACGAGAGGGCTTCCAGGCACTGTCGCACAATGTCGGTGATCCGGTACGACTCAATCCAGTTATATGGACACGCCTGTCCATGTTGCGTGTCGTCCAAGACGGACACCGCCCTCCGTGTCGTCAGAATATTTTTACTACCACTCGCTAGATGTGCACTTTGACTCCCTTCACGCATGTCCTCCCTCTCGTGTTCCTCCCACTGATGGGAATGACAGGACCCTTTATTGTTGCTTCCCCCGCTGAGCTCCCAGGAGCGTCGCAGGAGGAACGTCAAGTCACCGCCTTCCGCATATTCGGAGACCAAACACATTTGCTTCTCCTCATCCAAAAAGCTGTCAATGTAATGCAAAATGTTTGGGTGCCGCAGGTGTCGCAGAATGGCCACCTCGTTCATTGCAAGCATCACCCCACTGTCCGTGAGTGCATCAAGTGGTACCGCCTTCACCGCAACAGGCTGCCGATACCACGGGCTTCCAGGCAACATGTCATGGCACAGAAACACATTCCCAAAGCTGCCGGTGCCAATTTGCTGACTGCGGGGAAAACGGTCCCACTGCGAAATAACTCTACCACTGTCGTCAGCATGATTGTTCTTGGAATCACTACACGCGGATGTGCACCGCTCCAAGGAGACATCGACGTTCCCCGCCTCCCTCAGCGACCCAAAACTTCGAGACGAAAACGTTTCTGAGCGCATCAAAGACCCCCCACCAACACTCATGCCAAATCAATTGTGGTGAATACGCCGAAGGAACAAAATATAATATAATATATACCTTGTGTGGAGTGAAGCTGCTTCTCCCCCTTCCTCGCGTAAACAACCGTTCTTCTTTTTGTGTGTGTATATATGTAATGTGTGTCTGTGGTGTAAGCAATATAAATACAACCGCGTGAGCCCCAACTTCACGATATATATATATATATATATATGTATATGTTTCTTCTCTTTTAGCTCGAGTTGACAGCAGGCATAACGAACTCCCCTCAGCCTTTCTTGATTCCCAATCAATCAAATAGCCTTCCCCCACCCTCCTCCCACCCCCCACCAACCAACGCGACCACCACAATTCCTTCTTGTTTGTGTATGTATGTATTGTACGTGCAGTCGTGTTGCCTTCCACTCCTTCGTGGATATCAACGGCACAAACTGCCTACAGTCGGAGAAGAAAAAAAAAAAAAAAAGAAAGAACAGAGGGGGCGCAACTCACGCAAAAAGGAAAATTAGTCGCATTTCTCCGCATGAAAATTAAACCCTCCACAACAGACGTCCAAATCACCTCTTCATTCACCGGCACCTCCGTCACGGCCTCCCCCCCCCCTCCCCTCACCACAGCAGCCAAGAAAAGATGAAAGGGATGGATGTCCATTACACGAATTGCACGTTTAAATAAACGCATATAAATATATATATATATTATACGGCACAAAGGAAAAAAAATAAGAAAGAAATAATAAAAATATCGTCCAAAAAAACAAAAAAAAAAATTTTTTTTACCGGATCGACAGAATAAAAATTGAGTGAATATAAAAAAAGAAAAAAAAAAATAACGATTAATATCGTCAGTTCGTCTCGTCTATCAACCCCGGACGTCATGTGCTCTCTTTTCTTCTCGCCTTTTAATCCCTCATAGACGCGTGTATGAGGAAAATGATACACATGCGGACCCAACATTTAAAAAAAAAAAAAAAAATGAGTCCACTGACGGCCTCGCAGAAAATCTGACACTTTCACAGTCACCCAATAACCCAACAAAGTCCCCAGTTTTTTTTTTTTTTCTCAGCCACCTGCTGTGGGTATTCGTTATTTCATTGCTGTTTCCTGTTTTATTTCATTATTTTCACCTTTATTTATTTCATTATATTTTGTTGTTCTTATTCCTTTCCTTCATTTTCTCTATGTCCAACTTTGCGTGGTACGTTAGCATTGTTGTTGTTGATTTCCTTTTTCTTTTTATTTTCTCTCTCCTAATAATTTGAATTGCATCTCCTCCTCCTCCTCCTCCTAATCCAACTCCTGCCTGCCTACAGCAGCACTACATCCCTTTGATGTTACAAATGTGCGGGGTACCGTCGTGCCTCCCCCGGCCTGAGGGTGAAGATGTGTCTAAAGCAGCGAAATCGGTCATTCACCTCAAAGCCGTAACCAATCACGTACTTGTTGGGCACCGTCAGACAGACAAAGTCCGGTTGCATCGTTACCCGGCGGCCTCCAGGTTTGTCCGCCAGCACGCAGACCTTCAACGTGGCCGGCTGATGTTCCCGCTGAACCTTATCCAAGATGTACCTCAGCGTTTTTCCAGAGTCGACAATGTCCTCAAGGATAAGGACATGTTTGCCCCGCAGCGCCTTAAACTGCGTCTCAGCCAGAAGCTGCATCTTGTTCGTGCTGCTTGTACCCCTGTATGAGGCAACCCGCAGGAAATCCACTACGTGTGGCAGACCATAATCACCAAGGTAGCGTACCATGTCTGCAGTGAAGATGTAGCTACCTTTCAGAACGGAGATAATAATGAGCGGGTTTTCATCGCTTATGGGTGCCACACCTCCGCCACCGTGTGTGTCGCGGTGGGACAAGGGCCTGTAGAAATCAGCGATCTGCTTGGCGACAGCCTTGATGCTCCGTTGAATCACACTCTCGGTGGCGACAAGTTCCTCCGCCATAGGGTACGCCTTGCCATCCACAACAATAACGCCCTCTGCGTTCCTGCTGACAACATGTACCATCGCTTGCTGTGAGGAAATCATGAAGTGCGTCAATTCTTTACTTCCGCTACCACGGCCCCTCCACTCGTTACGTGCAAACACACACGAAGAAAAAAAAGTGAGAGAGAGAGAGAGAGAGAGAGAAAGAGAGAGAGAAAAAGGGATGCAAGAAAAGTTCAAGAAAACGCCACAGCGGCACTTCGGACTGCGAGAAAAATGGCTCAACACGCACGCGCACGCACAAAAAAACACACATAAACAAATTACGCACGTACACACGCATGGGGAAGCAAAAGAGAAGGGCATTACAGCAATGACTCCTCGCGCCGCCCACCCCTCGGCTGTAGACATAAGTCATATACATCTCCATCAGAGAGTTCCTCACGTATTCGGTCCTTCATGCACTCCTCGGCAAGGTGGAGGGGGGAAGAGAAATAAAAATAAAAAAATGAGAAACGAAAAGAAAAAAACCCCACGTGCACGAATTCGTGGTTGATTTATTCCTTTATTTTTTTTTTTTTTCCCCGCACCAGCTGATCCTTCGTTCCCCTTTCTTTTTTGAAATTTCGCGGCTCTTTTCCACTGAGCCTTGAAGAATAGTTTTTGTTTTTCCCTCTTTTACAATTCAACAATGCCTCCACGTGAGTTCTATCGCAGTGAAGCACATGTCTAAATACATACACGTAACGCCAATATACCATGAACACACATGAAGTCCACATGCATGCAAGTGCGCAGGGATGTATGCATAGCAACAGAAGCATGAGGAGAAGGATGTAATCAGAAAATGTCGGGGGTAAAGAAAAATCAACCTATCAACAAAAACAAAACACACAAACACACACACACATAAACTAACAAACAGACAGACATCCGACGCCACTACCTCCCTTTCTTCATTCCCCCCTGCCGGCCACTCTACGCCTTCAGAGACTCCCCTGCTGTTCCCCCCCAAGAGACGTCCACACGTACGCCTGGCGGCACGTTTATCGGAGGTTCAACCCTTCCCTCTCCATGCAGGCACACATAAGTAACACTTATTTGCATTGGCCGATTAAATACAAAAAAAAAAAAAAAGAAAAAAAAGAAAATTAAACACATTTCCACATGGCGCCCTCAGTACTTGCTATGAAACTCCCTCTTGGCGTCTCTGTCGGTGTCAGCGCTACCAATGGCCCGCTGCTTCTTCTGCCGCGCCGCCTCCCTCTCCGCATACACCTCCGGACGAAGAACAACAATATCGCGTAACTCACGGTAGGTGTCGTCGTAATCAAGACCGTAGCCAATCACAAAGGCGTTGGGTATATTCGCCACAACGTAGTCCGCAGAAAAGGGCACGCGTCGCCCCTCACGCTTGTCAAGCAACACAACTGTTTTTAAGCTCGCTGGCCTGCGTGTAAAATACATGTGGTACAAGTAATTCAGCGTAAGGGCGGTGTCAACAATGTCCTCCACAATCAACACATGGTGCCCCTCAATGCTGTGACGCGTGTCAAGCAACATGCGCACCTGACCGGAGCTCGTGACTCCTTCACCATATGATGAGACGCAAATGAACTCCATTCGCACCGGCACGTTGAAATCACTCAGTGCACGGCACAAGTCAGCAGTAAACATAAAGCTTCCCTTCAGCACAGATATGAGCACAAGAGGGTTGACATAAGGGCGCAGACCCTTTCCCTTGTAGTCATCCGCAATGCGCTTGGCAACCTCCATAATGCGGGTGCGGATCTCCTCTTCTGTGAAAAGAATCTTCTCTGCAAACTCGTACTCCCGTGGCATGTGGCAAATCTTCCCTTCTTTTTCCCCCTCCTCCTCACGCGCGAAGAGGCGTATAAAAATTGCAAAACAAGGTTAAATACAACCCAATAAAAAGAAAAAAACGAAGAAAAAACGGGGCAGCGAGTAGTGCAATAAAATCTCAAAGGGCAAGCCCCCACACACTCCTCTCAAACGTTCCTTAATAAAATGTCAAAGGTCTCTCCTTCACACGCTTTACATTCCCTCCAATGTATACGGTACACACGCTCTCCCTCGCTCTCTGTTTTCACCAACAACAACACCGCCACCACCAGCCCTTACAGGCTACTACACGGCCATCAACACTATTGGCGTATTTCCCTTTCTTGCCTCTCACGCCTCTCTCGAACCTCACGTTCCCATGAAGTTTCCATATTTCGTGCGCTGCGCTTGGCCGAGCCAAACAAGTTTTCGTTATAACTACCCATGCCTGTCACGGAGCGCTGATTCTTGGGAATGCGCAGCTGCGACTCGTCTCCAAAGAGATCCTCGTGGCGGACGTAGTGCCGCCGCACCCACACCCAGAACACAAAGGTAAACAGCGTACATATAGCGACCATAAGGCGGTGGTCACGACTGTACATCTCCTGCTGTTCCCGCAGCTTCACAAGAGCCTCACGACTGATCTGCAAGGACCCAAGCTGCATCTTTCCGTGCACCTGTGACAGATTCATGGCCTTCTCATGGTAATCGAACACCATCGTGCGGAAGCGTTTGTCGGCCTCGTAGTGAAAATTCTCATAAATGGCACGCAGCTGCTGGACCTGTTTCTCACGGGTGCGCAAAAGCGTCTCCAGCTCCTCTGACGACATGGAGCGATACGTGTCGATCGTGGGTCGACTGTTGACCGTAGAGGAGGAAGAAAACGTGTCAGTGGTGTCGGCAACATGTTGGGTCCGTGTGAACTCGCGTCGTGCGTGTTCCCCGCAATCATCCCCGGTGAAGGCGGCGGAAGAAAAGTCATCCCCCGACGAAGATGATGAGCCAAACGCGGCTGCCGCTAGTCGCGCTCTGCAGTGAGCGTACATCAGTCCCTTCTGTCTATTCATTCCTTTACCAACCCAAGCACCTTTTACCACGCTGCCTCAAAGATGTGCTGCACTGCGTGAGGTGTGGCCCAACACATATACGCGCAGACGCAAATAACAGAGACGCCAAGGCACCTCACCGAGAGAGGGAGAAAAAAAGGAAAATCAAAGACAGAAAAAAAGAAAAGGCGTTGAGGGTAAGCCAATAACAATAATAATAATAAAATATAAAGATGATTTATTTGCGCAGATAAATCTTTTTTCGTTTCTTTGATGGTCAACCTATTCCACACACGCACACATAAATTTACTTTCCCTCTCTTTCCCTCTCCTTCCGGGCCAAAACGGAAAAAAAATATGCTCCCCCGTTTCGCTCAAATGACTGTTTCACGCCACACACACACACACACACACACACGCCCGGCCCTCTTCATTCTTACGTGTGGCCTTTGAAAATAAAGGGGGAAAGTGGATTTAAAGACCGTTTCCCAAGCGTTTCACCTTCACTCAGCCCTCCGCCTCTCTTTCACCGCACAGAAATCATAATGTTTTATTATTGTTATTATTATGACACACATGGCCCCCCGTCCACACACGGAATGAAAGTAAAAAAAACAAAAACAAAAAAGAAATAAAGATGGCGCAGTCACGTGAAAAACAAAAGAGGGATATAAATACATGCCCTTTTTTACTCTCTTACCCGATCCTAAACAACATCCTTGCATTGGGTCATGTCTGTTTGCGGTACGTGTGTGTGTGTGTATAAATATATGCGTGAGAGAATAAAAAATCAAAACTAACAAATTAGAAAAAATTGTAACTCATTCTTTTTTTTTTTTTTTTTTTTGTGTGTGTGTGTGGGGGAATTCATTACTTCATTTTCTCTCTTCCCCTTCTTCCTATTGCCTTGCTCGTTGTCAAACGCTTTCCCTCCAGCAGATGTAGTATGCCTCCGTCTCTTCTTCTTCTACTAGGCCCTCTGGCCCTAGTAGTCATCGCCCTTGGAGAGAATCTCCTTCGCCGTTGGCTTTAACAGGATGGTGTGCTCAAACTGTGCTGTGTAGCAGCCCTTCACGTCACACAGTGGAGGATACCTGTTGACAGCCCCCGCCTCCACCAGCTGGTTCAGGTTGAGAAGGTGCCTGTCGTAGCCGTCACGGTCAAGCCACTTACGCGCAAAGGCCAGCGTTCCGTACGTCTTGTTGATGTGCTTCAGCAAGTGTTGGGCCTTTTCAGAGCGCAACTGTGTTTTATCGCCCCCTGGTACCATCATGTAATGTGAGCACTCCATATCTTCCTGAACGACACCTCGTCCTGTGGAACCAAATGTCTCAATGGCAAACAGCTCACCCTCCTCCATTTTAATCGCCTCCCCACCACGCACAATGGGCACGGATTTGCCGCTGTGGATGACATACGGCCCAATGTTGTGACCGCAGAGATTACGGATGCTCTTGACAGGGTACACCTTGCCTTTGATCTCCACCTCGTAGGATTCCATCACTTCCTGGATGGCCTCGCCAATATCGCACAGACGCACATCAATGCCAGCCTGTTTAATACCCTCGTAGGTGGCTGATTTTACCGCCTCCAGTAATGGGGCATACTCATCGTTAAATGCTACTGTCCACGCACAGTCAACAATCCTGCCGTTGATTTGGGTTCCGAAGTCCACCTTCATCACGTCATCGTAAGTCAGAACCGTCTTGTCGCCTGTGTTCGGTGTGTAATGCGCGGCGACGTGGTTTAGCGAGCAGCCAGTCGGAAAAGCCTGTCCGCGCGTAAGACCGTCCTTCATTATAAGCTCCTCTACCTTCCGTTCAATGCGATCCGTCATGGAGATGAGTGAGATGCCAGGTTTAATGAAGCTCTGGGCGTAGCGACGCACCTGACGATGCACCTCCGCAGCATGACGAAGCTCTTGAACCTCCTGCTCGGTCGCCCTCTCCATCGCTCTCTTCTCCTCGCTACTGTGTCGATAGGCATTGACCTCACCTGGATGTTCGCAAATCTCACCTGGAGGGAAGTTCCCACTAGTGAACTGCATGCACACAGGGACAGTTGGCTCCGGCCACGTCTGCCGCTTCATGCCTGGTGCCACCTGCGGATACGGATTGTCGACGTGATCGGCGGTACTGACTACCTTGACGCCCGCCTCGTCATCCCGCACCTCCCCCGTGGCACTTGTTTTTTTCTGCTGCTGCTTCCCAGCCCCGTTATTTTGTTTCTTCTGATGGTGGCCGTTCTCGGCCTTAGGTAGTGCCGCCTGCGTCTCCTTCACCGCCTTCGCAAGGAGAGCGTCAAATTCGTCATCGTCGCTCTTTTTACTCCCCTTCTTTCCACCCTGTCGTTGCTGCTGCTGCTGCTGTTGATGCTGGTGCTTGCCATTCGTGCCACCTCCCTTTGGAGGCATCGCTCCTATTTCCTTCCTCCAGTCTTTTTTAAGAATTCCCTTGGGGCCAAAAATAAAAGAAAATAAATAAATAAATAACACGCGCGGCACAGAGACCTAAAAATGGAGGCCACGGGAACCACATGAAGAAGTGTGGAGCAGGAAAAACACGGATGCAGAAGTGCACAAAGAAGCAAACACACACACACACACACATGAAAGAAATGCGTATGCGTGACGGGTGAACAAAAAAAAAAACATCCAATAGAAATCCAAATATTCGCCGGGGCTGTTGGCCGGATCCTGAAATCACATACATAAATGAAATATAACGGGGGAAGAAGGAGGCAATAAAAATGCAGTAGGGTTCGCCACACATCCTCCATGTTTACTCCAATTATATTTATATATCATTCGATAGACATCATCGTGACACGGTGCGGTCCATTCGGATCGGAGATATTTGTTACTTACGAAGTGAAAGACTTTGGGCTTCTCCAGCCACAAGACCCCGCCGCCAAGGTGGAGGAATAAAAAGGAGGGTGGAATGGCAAAAGCAAAAATAAAAATAAAATTCGTCTTGCCGTTATCGATTCCTTGATTCCCTTCCATCGTAGTCTTTCAAGAAAATCATAAAATTGAGAAAAAAATTTTTTTTTATTTTTATTTTTTCCTACAGGAATACATGTGTTTTTATCAGGATATATATATATACATATAATATAAATAAATGAATTTAGGTAGTCAGCCCGCTCGTAAAAATTCTCTTCACAGGCTCCCAACAAAAACAACAACCAAAAAAAAAAGAGAGACCCACCACACAAGCACACGCACACAAGGGACATCCACACATCCCAAACTGATTGCTCCTCCCTATATTTATGTATCCCTCTTTAATTTATTTTTTTTTTTGTGTGTGTTTTTAATTCCCCCGCCCTTCCCTCGCTCACACCGTACGTCTGACCGTTTCTTGCACCACGCGCTGTCATTCCTAGCGCATGGAGTTCTTGTTTAGTTTGCCCTCTTTTCGTACGTGTCCGACCCGGACTCAAGGGAGACGCCAAAGAACTCAATGTACTTCACCGTGGGAAGCTGATAAAAGTGTTTGGGCTCGACACTGCACACATACACACGCTGCAAGACGCTCAGTACGCCGCCCACAAAGCCAAGCAACACGGCCAACGTGTCTGTCGCCTCTTGTTCATTCCCGCCGCCACTGTTGGTCTGA